TGTTGGCTGAAGGGAGTATGGCCTTACTCCACTATAGTTCTCTTTTACAAGCTTGCAAGAGGCTTAATACAGCATCCCTGACTGCTGCAGACATTTCTTTTTTTTTTTTTTTTTTAAATGTTTTATTTATTTCTAGGAGAGAGAGAGACAGCATGAGCAGGGGAGGGTCAGAGAGAGAGGAAGTCACAGACTGAAACAGGCTCCAGGCTCTGAGCTGGCAGTCAGCACAGAACCCAATGCGCGGCTCGAACCCACGAACCACGAGATCATGACCCAAGCGAAAGTCGGACGCTTAGCCGACTAAGCCACCCAGGCGCCCCTGCTGCAGACATTTCTAATACCATTGGTTGTCCTGATTAATAAAGTCCTGTGACAGGACAACTTGCATTGCAACCAGGACCTCTTCAGAGCCTTCTTTTACTCTTGAGTCTCACTCAAAAATAACCTTACAAGTTACTCATACTGGTTATTTCAGCACATTCAACTGTGGTATCTCTCTCCTCAAAAATGCAGGTCTCACCAGGTATTGTCCCTTTCTGAGGTGATAGCAGTTGGTTAGAGACAGAAGTGAAGGAAAGAACAAGCCCCATGACTTTCTGAGAGAAGACTGTTTCAGGCAGAGGGAATAGCAAATGCCAGGGACCTTTTGATGTAGTAGGAACAGGGTCAGTTTTGAGTAGACAGAAAATAGGGGTGGTTGTGGAATGAAATGAGAACACAGAGAAAAAGGATGAGTTGGGACCTTCAAGCCATAGTAAGGACATGGAATTTATTCCCAGTGTGAAAGGAAACCGTTGGAGCATTTTATACATGATAATAACATATAAAGATCACTCTATTGTATGGAGAGTAGAAGAAAGGTATGTTAGCAAGAATAAAACAAATGTTTTAAGAAGAGAGTAATCGACTATATCAAATAATAGTAAGATTGAGAATTGGATTTGTCAAGATAGAGCTTATTAGGAATCCTAGTAAGTGCGGTTTTGATGGAGTTAAGGAAATAAAAAACCTGATTGCAATGGGTTAAAAAAAAGAACAGACTTGGGGCGCCTGGGTGGCTTAGTCGGTTAAGCGTCCGACTTTCGCTTGGGTCATGATCTCGCGGTTCGTGGGTTCGAGCCCCGCGTCGGGCTCTGTGCTGACTGCCAGCTCAGAGCCTGGAGCCTGTTTCAGTCTGTGACTCCCTCTCTCTCTGACCCTCCCCTGCTCACGCTGTCTCTCTCTCTCTACTAGAAATAAATAAATAAATAAATAAAAAAACATAAAAAAAAATTAAAAAAAAAAAAGAACAAACTTAATATCGGTTAGAATATAGAGCAATATGAACTCGTACACTCAACAGTGAGACCCCAAAATTCTGATTCTAAGCTTATGTAACCTGGAGAAATACTTGATGTGTGCATCGAAATAAATGTACCAGCAGATTCATATCAGCATTGCTTAAAGAAACAAAATGTTATTGTCCATTGAAGGAGAATGAGAGCCACACACATGAATATGGATGAGTCTTCCAAACATAATATTGAACAAAAAAAGCAAGTTACAGAATATATGTGATATAATTCTATAAATGTATAGAGTTCAAAAACATGCTCTATTTGTCTGCTAAGGCTTCAAATAGGCTTTACTTAACAAAGTATCACAGACTGGGTGGCTTAAACAGCACAGATTTATTTACTCATAGGTCTGTGCATTAACTTTGGTCATCTATACCTTGTTTTCTTCTGGAAGTTTTATAGTTTTAGTTTTTCTGTTTAGATTTATATTACATTTCTAGTTAATATTTATGTATAGCATAAGGAGAGAGGGCTAATTTATCTTATTGTTCAGTTCTAACACTTTTTGTTGAACAGACTGTCCTTTCACCATTGAATTGTCTTGGCAACTTTCTTGGCAATCAATTTTACATATATGTTTGGATCTATTTATGGACTAAGTCTTTTTTTTATGTTTAATTATTTATTTTTGAGGAGTGGAGAGGCAGAGAGAGAGAGGGACAGGGGATCCGAAGCGGGCTACATGCTGACAGCAGAGAGCCTGATGCCATTCAAACTCACAAACCATGAGATCATGACCTGAGCTGAAGTCAGACACTTAACCAGCTGAACCACCCAGGCACCTATATTTATGGACTCAGTCTTATTCTATTTATAGATATATCTGACATTATGCACTGCTTTGATTACTGTAGACTTATAATAAAACTTGAAATCAGGTAGCATAACTTGTCCAATTTTGTTTTTCTTTTCCAAGAAACTTCTGTGCATAAAGTTTATAATCAGTTTGTCAATTTCTACAAAAAAGACTGCTGAGGTTTTGATTGGGGTTGCGTTGGATCTATAGATCATATTGGGAATGATTCCATCATCTTAATATTAAATCTATCTTTCCATAAATGATGGCATATATTTCTGTTTATTAGGTCTTTTTTAACTTCTCTCAGCAATGTTTTGTAATTTTCATTATAAAGATATCACACATATTTTGTTGAATTCCTTTTTAAATATTTCATTTTTGGTGCAATTAAAAAATGATTTTAGGGGCACCTGGGTGGCTCAGTTGATTGAGTGTCTGGCTCTTAATCTCAGCTCAGGTCTTGATCTCAGGGTCGTGAGTTCAAGCATGTTGGACTTCATGTTGGGTGCAAAGTCTACTTAAAAAAATTTTTTTGTTTTGTTTGAAGAGAATAAAAGCATTGAAACCACTTGTGTTTAATTTTTTTAATGTTTATTTTTGAGAGAGAGAGCATGAGTGGGGGAGGGGCAGAGAGAGAGGGAGACACAAAATCTGAGCAGGCAGCTCCAGACTCTGAGCTGTCAGCACAGAGCCCAGTGTGGGGCTTGAATTCCTGAACCATGAGATCATGACCTGAGCTGAAGTTGGATACTCAACCAGCTGAGCCATCCAGGTGCCCCCCCACCAAAAAGAAGTTTTTAATTTTAGGCTTTAATTGTTCATGGCTAGTATACAATTGGGTTTTGTATATTACTCTAATAAACTCATGTACAAGGTCTAATAACTTTTTTGACACACTTTAGAATTTACTGTATACATGATTATGTAGTCTATAAATAAAGACAACTTGACTTTTTTCTTATTTGTATCTCAGTTATTTTTCTTGTCTTGTTGCATTGGCTAGTAATATTGAATAGAGATTATACAGTGTTGAATAGAAGTGGTAAGAGAGAGTATCCTTATTTTGCTTCCTTGTTCCTAGGAGAAGAGCATTCAATGTTTAACCATTAAGTATGTTGTTAGCTGTTGCTTTTTCTTTGCTTTGTATTGGAGTAGTTAATTTACATATAACATAATTGATGTTTGAATTTAAATATACCATATTCTTGATGCACCTGGGTATCTCAGTCAGTTAAGCATTCAGCTCTTGGTTTCAGCTCAGGTCATGATCTCACAGTTTGTGAATTTGAGCCCTGCATTTGGCTCTACACTGGTGATACAGAGCCTGCTTGGGATTCTCTGTCTCCCTCTCTCTCTCTGTCCTTCCCCTGCTTGCTCTATGTCTCTCTCTGTCAAAAATAAATAAACATTTTTTTAAAAAGAAGAAAAAAGTAAATATATTATCTTCTTATTTGTTTTTATTTATCCCATCTTTCGTTTCTTTTTTTTTTCTCCTTTTTTGCCCAATTTTACATCAGGTTCTTTTGTTTTTCCATTTTTTTCTCTATTAGCTTATTGTTTCTACATCCTTTTATTGTACTTAATTGTTACCTCATAGCAACCTTTTTCTGATACTATTCTGTAAGAATTAAGCACCAATGCTTATCTATTATGGTACTAGCTGTGTACCAATTTTGGTAGAATTAAGAAAATGGGCAAATCATTTCTGCTTTATTCTCTTATGGAACCCTGGTTGAAATAGGCTGCCTTAAACCTATTACAACATATACTTTTGATTTATTACAGTTTTATCTTAGTTTACTATTTCTAGGACAATCCAAAGATCTTAAAATATTTTCGTTTTATGTACCTCCCTCCTCTTGTGCTATTTTTGCCATGTATTTTAATTCTCTGTATATTGTAAACTCCATAAGACTTCATTCATGTTACTTAAGTCAGTCAGTACACATTTAGATTTACCCATAAACTACTTTTTCCAATGCCCTTGCCTCTGGTAAAGCAAGAAGCCTTTACTTAGAGACATGAGATATTTTACTTTTGCCTTTGAAATTAACCTGTGCCATGTTTTCAACTCTCTAGACCATTTGCAGTCTGACCATAGTATGCCTTTTATAGTAAACACCATTTAACAGGGGGCTGAAAGTCAAAAATTCCCCTGGAATTCCTACCATCACGGACATCTGGTATTGTTAAGCATAGGAATGGCCTCCTCAAAAATCAACTCAGAAGAGATTTTTGATCTTTTCCTGGTTTACACTCTATATTTAGGAAGTCTGGTTACTGAATATGGCTCTTCCCAAGATAGGATCATATTTTCATAGCCACTTCCTTGTAATAATCAGGACAAAAGAGATGGGAGATTATATAGACCTATTTTTGAAAATTCAAGATTCTGTCCTGACCATTCCTGGACATTAATACTTTCTTCTTTCCCCTAATAGCAGCCTCTGATCAGCCTGGTTAGTGGTCCTCTCAGTGACAGCCAGGCTGCCACTGCCTCCTCCTCCACTTCCTCCCTCCCACTGCAAATACTCTTTCACATTGTTTACCTTACTTAGGTTAATTAATTGCTTGCATATTAGCTTTTAGTCAAACTTTCATAATTACTACAACTAGGTTTCAGTATTCCCAGATCTCCTGTGACAAATATATACAGAATATATCTGGTAAACCACTTCAATAAATGGTTATTATGATCTAATACTTATTGATTCTCCCTAATTTCTCTTTTGGAGGATAATTTTCAGTGTTTTGGAGCACTCTCCTATTGTGATGGCATTTTATAGGTAAATACAAATCTGTTTCACCTCAAACTTTCTTACATTATGGAGAATACATTCCATTTGGATTTTTTATTGTTCTAGATGGTGAGACTAAGACCAAGATTGGAGAGGTGGCTTCAGAGGAGGAAGTTACAACAAAAATCAAATCATTGCCTGAAGAGTCTGGCAACCCCAGAGATGATGTTCTCCAGGATTCTGAAAGCAGAGGATTCTGTGAATTTGGAGATAAATTAAGTGAAAAGGATCAAAACCTCTTTAAAAAAAGACAACACAACTGTGATGAATGTGGGCAAAGCTTTGCTTGGAGTACAGGCCTTATTAGGCATCGAAGAACCCATTGGGAGAAACCCTATGAATGTGATAAGTGTGGAAAGGCTTTTAGTGTGAGCTCAGCTCTGGTTCTGCATCAGAGAATTCATACTGGGGAGAAACCCTATCCTTGTACTTGGTGTATTAAAAGTTTCAGTCGGAGCTCAGATCTTATTAAACATCAAAGGGTACACACTGGTGAAAAACCTTATAAATGTGATGAATGTGGGAAAGCCTTCAGTCAGAGTTCCGATCTTATTATCCATCAGAGAATCCATACAGGAGAAAAACCCTATCAGTGCAGTCATTGTAGTAAAAGTTTTAGTCAGCGCTCAGACCTGGTTAAGCATCAGAGAATCCATACTGGAGAGAAGCCTTACACATGTAACCAGTGTAACAAACATTTTAGTCAGAGTTCTGATGTTATTAAACATCAAAGAATCCACACTGGAGAGAAACCATATAAATGTGATGTGTGTGGGAAAGCCTTCAGTCAGAGCTCAGATCTTATTCTGCATCAGAGAATCCACACTGGGGAGAAACCTTATCCATGTAATCAGTGTAGCAAAAGTTTCAGCCAGAACTCAGACCTTATTAAACATCGTAGGATTCACACTGGAGAGAAACCCTATAAATGTAATGAATGCGGTAAAGCTTTTAATCAGAGCTCAGTCCTTATTCTGCATCAGAGAATTCACACTGGAGAGAAACCCTATCCATGTAATCAGTGTAGCAAAACCTTCAGTAGGCTTTCAGATCTTATGAATCACCAGCGAATTCACACAGGAGAGAAACCTTACCCGTGTAGCCAGTGCAGTAAAATGTTTAGTCGAAGATCGGACCTTGTAAAACATCATAGAATTCATACAGGTGAGAAGCCCTATGAATGTGATGAATGTGGGAAAACCTTCAGTCAGAGCTCAAATCTTATTCTACATCAGAGAATCCACACTGGAGAGAAACCCTATCCATGTAGTGATTGTACTAAAAGTTTTAGTCGTCGTTCTGACCTTGTTAAACATCAAAGAATACATACTGGAGAGAAGCCATATGGGTGTAACCAGTGCAGTAAAAGTTTTAGTCAAAGCTCAGACCTCACTAAACATCAGAGAGTGCACTCTGGGGAAAAGCCCTATCATTGTGATCATTGTGAGAAAGCCTTCAGTCAGAGTTCTGACCTTATTCTTCATCAGAGAATCCACACTGGAGAAAAACCATACCCATGCACACAGTGCAACAAAAGTTTCAGCCAGAACTCAGACCTTATCAAACACCAGAGAATCCACACTGGGGAGAAACCATATAAATGTCAGGAGTGTGGAAAGGCTTTCAGTCAGTGCTCAGCTCTTATCCTACATCAGAGGATCCACACTGGGGAAAAACCATATTCATGTGATCAGTGTGGCAAAAGCTTTAGTCGGCGCTCCGATCTCATTAACCATCAAAGAATCCACACTAGTGAAAAGCCCTATAAATGTGATGCATGTGGGAAAGCCTTCAGCACATGCACTGAACTTATTGAACACCAGGGAATCCACACCAGGGAGACACCCCACAGGTGTGTTCATTGCAACAGAAGTTTTAGCCAGCTCTCTGATCTTATTGATCATGAGATAATCCATTCTGGGGAAGACAGTCTAAATGTGATGAATGTGGGAGAAGCTTTAGAGTATACACCAACTTTATTCAGTACTGGAGACACTAGACCAGAAAAAAGTCTTAGAAATGCTATTGAGGATTATGAAAAAGGTTTTAATCAATGCTCAACTCTTGTGCTACATTAAGAAAAAAACACCACTGGACAGGAAATTTTTACAGTGAAGGTTTAACTGAGAGCTCAGACATTACTAAACTTAAAAATTCTGAGGAGGAATCCTGTAATTGGGAAAAACTTCAAAGTGAATAAAAATATTACTGAATGTCAGCAACAATGGAAAAGATTTTCTGTCTATGATGTAAAAAAAAAGAAAAAAAGCCCTTTAGTCTTTTATTCAAATACAATCCACAAGGGAAGAGTTTTATGATTATAAGAAATGTGTAACAATATTAATGCAGAACCTATTCAGATATTGTAAAAGTCAGTGTGATGGGTCTGCAATCAGAACTCAGAAAGAAATGTGCTAATATAATCTCAAACCTTTAGAAAGCCCTAATTACCCATTGCATATCAGAGAGGTCACTTTAGCAAGTGTAGGGAAAGCTTAATTCCCTTCCATATGTTAACTGGCATTCACTCTGATAATCAGCATGCCACTTATCTCCTGACAGTGGAAGAGCCCTGCCTTATGCTAATGTTAATTGTCTATCATTAAATTCCCTCTTTTGAACATGCTATGCTATTCTGGTATTAAGCTTACTAACTACATAACTCTAGTGCCCCATTTTCTCAGAAAATTTTCTTTGGCCTATTTTTGGTTTTCCTAACTAATATGACTTTTCAAGTTTCTGCAGTATTCACAGCAAATATGGACTTATTTTGCTCTAATGTAGCCCATAAACTTGATTGGTTTGAAATCCTTCACTACCATTTAATCACAGCTCCTAAATATGTGAAATAGATTTTTTTTAAAAAAGAATTCCATATATCGGAGTGTGAAGATTTCTTTTCCATTATGTTTATTTTATCATCTATAGATTGAACAAAAATGAGAGCTAAAGTAATATCTATGTGACTAATTTGTATAGCATATTCTGTCTAAAAATAAAAAGACTGATTTTTTTCAAGTGGCAACATTTATCAGACTATGTTTGTTTGTTTTTTAATGTTTATTTATTTTAAGAGAGTGAGACTGTGCATGTGAGCAGGGTGGGGGGTGGGAGCAAAGAGAGAGAATCCCAAGCAGTTCCATACTCGACACAGAGCCTGATGTGGAGCTTGGTCCCATGAACCATAAGATCAGGACCTGAGCCAAAATCAAGAGTGGGATTCTTAGCCAACTGAGCCACCCAGGTGCCCCTGTTTGTTGATTTCTGACATATTGTTGATAATATGCTATATATATGCAAAGTTTTCAACCAAGAAATAGAAATGTTTTTAAAAATTTCAAATTGCTTTTCTAGTATTAGCTACAAATCTAGTGTTAAAATTCCACTAGTATACTTTGAATATTCCCTGTAATCATCCAGTTAATATTTCACAGATTAAAATCACCCAGTTATTTACTATGTGCAAGGTATTTTTTGTAGGTTTTGTACTATACACAAAGAATATACTGTCCCAACAGAGCATAAATGATAAAGCCTGATGTATACAGAAAACACATGGCTCAATATAATCATAAGGGTAGACAAGATACTTTTAAGAGCTCAGAGGAGGTAGGGTTCGATTGTGATTGGAAAGAAAAAGGAAAGTTTGTGGAGCTCTTGAAATTTGAGTTTTGAAGGATGAAAGTTAGAGGCATAAAGGCAAAAGGAGTAGTCAACAGACAGAGAAGCAAGCAAGTAGAAAAATGTGAAGTATGTATGTAGTCATTCATTCAATAAACATTCAGTGTCAGACTCTACTGAGTGCTGCTGAAGGGGAGAGAGGATTCCTGCTCTTATGCTCAACAGTTCATGAAAATAATAACTAAGACGTGTACTTAAAAGAGTCAGAATAAGATGGAAATAAAAAATGAAGTAGGGGAAAAGACTGTTAAGGAATGTGATGCAGAACAAGCAGGCAATTCATCTTTTTGGTGTTTATGGCTGCATTAAGTTTCATATTTCTGCACTTTGTTCTCAAGGTAATGGAAAGCCATTGAGGTCTTTGAACAAAGGAATGACATGATCATCTTACTGCCTTCAGAAGAGTAAATTAAAAGGGGAAAGAACAGGGACACCTTCTTTCAGTCAGTTGGTGGCTGGTCAGTCAGTTAAGTGTCCCACTTTTGATTTTGACTCAGGTCATGATCTCGTGGTCATGAGATCAAGCCCTACTTTGGGCCCTGCACTGAGCATAGAGCCTGCTTAAGATTCTCTCCCTGTCCCTCTGCCCCTCCTCTGCTCACTCATGCTCACACACTCTCTCTCAAAAATATAAATAAATAAATAAATACATATATACATACATACATACATACATACATACATACATACATAAATAAGAGGGGAAGAGCAGAAAGGAAAACTATTTTGGAAGTCTGGAAATAAAAGCATGAGGGGCACAAGTAGAGGAATTAAACAGCATTGACATGATGATAAGTTGAGAAACGAGTTGAAAACAAAAGTGTACAATGAATTATCATCTGTTCCTTTGGGAATTTAAAAAGTGAAGAAGAAAAGTAGGATGCTGAAACTTATGTCTGAAGTTTACCCCTTTGCCCTGATAATAAATTTTAAGAGCCATCTGCTTACTACACATTTCTACCTAGTGTCATGAACTTAACATACACACCCATGATATCTTCCTTCTGAATTCCTTATCCTAGTGAATTGCACTGCTAAACCCCTTGTTATACAGATGAAATAAATGATAGCCATCCTACGCTGCTCACTCTCCCAGTTTTCTAAATCCACTTCCTCACTAGGTCTTAGAAATGAGTTATAAAAGTCACACTACTTATATAAATATAATTAAAAAATCTGACAGTAACAAGTGTGGACAAGGATATGGAAAAAACTGGAGCCTTCATATTGCTGTTGGGAATATAAAATGGTGCAACCACTTGGAAGTTTGGCTGTTTGATCGCTGATGGGTATAGGATATCTTTTTGGAGTACTGGAAATGTTTTGGAATTAGTGGCAATTGCTGCATGTTTTATAATTTACTAAAAACCACTAGATTCAACCCTTTAAAATAGTAAATTATATGGCAGGCAAATTATATGTCAATAAAAAATTAATATGCAAAAAGGCACCACGACCAGGAGAAAGAACATATGTTTAGAAATAAAATCACAAGTGACACAGGTATTGGAGTTATCATACATGGACTTTAAAATGACTATAAGTAATATACTTAACAAAATGTTATATTTTTTATATTTATTATAAAGTATATTTATTAAGTATAAATAAATGTTTCCAGAATTTACTAGAATCTATGAAAACTATTTATGGAAATTCTACACCTGAAAAATATAACAACTGCAATTAAGAGCTCAACTGATAGGATTACCAGCAGATTGGATCCTTTGCAATGGGGATTAGAGAACTGAAAGACATAAATAAACACCAAGGCTGAAGCATGGAGGGGAGAAAAAAACAAAATGCAGAGGAGAGCATAGCCATCATACCTAATATTGTAAAATGATCTAACATACAAATAATTTGAGCCTCAAAATGGGATAAGAGATGACAAGAGGCTCTATTTAAAGAAAGAGTGGTCAAGAATTTTCCAATACTCATGAATATCAAGTCATAGATTAAAGGAGCACTACAATCACCACGCAGAATAAATACAAAGAAAAATACGCTTGAGGACATTATAGTATCTAACAAAACTGGAAAAAAAGGAAAAAAAAATCTAAAAAAGAAAAAACCCACATTTATTCAAATAAACAATAAATAAGGATGAGGATTAACTTCTCAACATAATACCAGAAGATCATGTAATATCTTGAAAGTATAACTTTTAAAAGTAAAGGCAATCTGTATGGTGACATATAGCTACACTTGTGAGCATAGTATATAACACGTAGAGATGTTGAGTCACTATGTTATACATCTGAAACTAGTGTGACATTGTATGTCAGCTATACGCAAAAAAACAAATTAATTAATTAATTAATTAAATTAAAAAATTTTAAAGGCAATGTAAAGACATATCCAGATAAACAAAAGAGAATTCACTGCCCGTAGATTCAAACGAATACTAAAGGAAGTTCTTTAGAAATAAGGGAAATGATTCCAGACTGAAAACAAGTTTAGGAAGAAATGAAGAGCCATGTGGAAAGTGTAAATCTGAGGGCAAATCTAAATGAAGATGGATTATAAGAAAATATAATAATGCCTCCAATCAGGACCTAAGTACATAATGGATTCTAATAAACCAAGAATGCATGTTGTAATCTCTAGAGTAATAGAGAAGTGTGAGGATGCCTGGGTGACTCAGTCAGTTAAGCCGCTGACCCTTGATACTGGCTCAGGTAATAATCTCATGGTTATGAGATCGGGCTCTCTGCTGAGTTTGGAGCCTGCTTGGGATTCTCTCTCTCCCTTTCTCTCTCTCAAAATAAATAAATAAACTTAAAAAAAAAAAGAATATAGTATATGTGGATAATATAATTAACAAAATGACCTAATTGACATATAGATAACAATGCAACCAACAATGACAGAAAACCTCTTTAAGGTGTGCAGAGCATTTACCAAAACTTACCATGTGCTTGTTTGTAAAGCAAGCCTCAACAAATTTCATCAGATTTAAATAATTTAGAGCAGTGATGTCCAATAGAACTTTTTATGTTCTTGTCAGTATTGTTCACATTTTAAAATGTAGCTAATGTGCCTGATGAATTTCATTTTATTTAATTCTAATTAATTTAAATAGCCACATCTGGTTAGTGGCTACCACATTGGACAGCAAGACTTAGCATATGTTTTCAGACAACAATGAAGTTAGCTAGAAATCAGTAACACACACATATACATTTTAAAAAATTCCCAAATGTTTGGAAATTAAGACAGTTTAAGTCACATACAAGTGGGGCACCTGGGTGGCTCAGTTGGTTAAGTGTTCAGTGATCTCACGGTTTGTGAGTTTGAGCCCCACAACAGGAGCCCCACATCAGGCTGACAGTGTGAAGCCTGCTTGAGATTGCCTCTCTCTGCCTCTCCCCCACTTGTACACACACACACACACTCTCTCTCTCTCTCTCTCAAAATAAATAAACTTTAAAAAATAAATAAATAACCGATGAATAAAAGAAGCAAGCATAATGGAAATTTCAAAGGTATTTTTGTCAAGATAAAAATAGAAACTATAGAATACAACTAAAGCCCTGATTAAAGAGAAATTTATTTTAAAAATAAATACAGATTAAATTTAAAAAGAAATGTATAGCACTCAGTGCATGTATTAGGAAAGAAAGGGGTACAATTCAATAATATAAATATCCATTGGAAGAAGTTATAAAAGAATAGCAAGTAAATCTAAAGAAAGAATGTAGAGAGAATTTCATGCACTGCTGTTCTGTGTTCCAGTTGTAACTTACAAGGAAGTTTGCACAATGTCCAGAATGTTTGCTGTCCTGCAAATGAAGGAACAGGGTCTTCTCAAATTCCTTGTAGCAGGAACCCACTTAGGTGGCACC